AAAAGCTTTGTAATAACAATGATAATAATTTTATGCTTCTGGGCGAGATTCCAATCTGAAATTTACGCCTGCGGCTCTCAAATTATCAAACCCAAAACGGATTTACTTATTTTTCTGCCGGATATTAAGTAAAAATGTCCCCTTTAATTAAAGAGAATTTTGCAGAACGTCAGGTTTATTAATTTTTAACTCTTTATTAATAGCAATTAAATTCGGTATTAAAATAGTTTTCGAAAATTGATTTAGAGGCAGTAATTAATTTTCATAGTGAAATAATTTATTAATTTTGCTTTAAACATAGAACATTGAGTCGAATTTTTTTATTTATTTTATTAATAAAAAGTATAAAAATTCATTGTGATTTTTTTTTTTTTTTTTTTTTTTTTTTTTTTTTTTTTTTAAATAACAATTATGAAAAATGGAAAATTCTCAATGAAAATTAATGAAGAAAATTATACTTGGCTACAATATAAATACGTGTGTTAAAATTAAATGTGGGAAATATAATTAGGATAATTGCGAGTGGAAAAAATATATTCATTAAAATGATAAATTGGCGATGATATTGTAAAATTGAAGGAAACATTTATTATTAAGTGAATTTTTTGCGAAAATATAAATTAAATGGGTTTTAGATTAGGTCTAATGAGTTTTTCCACAGATGAACGAGCGCCAGCTCGGCCAGACACAAGTATCAAGTGAGTTAAAAATGAAATTAGAAGTTACGGCGCGACAGTTTTGATTTTTTTTTTTTAACAAAATTTTTACCAATTTTAGTTGAGAGAAGGTTCTCTATTATCACAGACACACCATCTTTTCAAGACGCGCGAGACGAGAGCAACGTTATATTTTGTTGGCAACGATGAAAATTGCTCTTAGCGATTATTAGTGCCAAGGAATATGAAAAATACAAAATATGTCACATCCCATTGACCCAGATCCGTTTAGAGTTGTCCAAAAGACAAAACACTTAATTTTATTCAATTTTCTTTTTTTTTTGGGGGGGGGGGATTATCTAAAGTGTGAGGAAAACGATAATTTTGTACAAAAGGACAAGTGAAAACTTTTGAAAAATGATTTTGTAACATTTACAAAGTGATTTTTCTGAGAAAAGACAACTGACAACTTTAGAAAAATGATTTTCTAAAAATGGACAACTGACAACTTCAGAAAAATGATTTTTTTTGAAGTAAGACAAATGGCAACTTTTGAGAAATTTCTTTCCATAATAAAGACAATTGACAACTTGAAAGAAATGTTTCTTTATTGGAAAAAAATTAATGATTTTCCAGAAATGTTTTTCCAGACAAGATACAACTGAATTAGTTTAATGAAATAATTTTCTACGAAAAAGACATCTGACAACTTTCGAGTTTTTTCAGAATATAATTTAATTTCTCATAACCCCGACAGAGAAGTCGACTAAAATTTGATAATATCGCCCATAAGGATCAATGTACATGACCATCAATCGCGGTACACTTTTTTTGACGTTTCGGATCCTTGTAAGTAAAGCATTGTCACGAGTCGACGTCTGCCTCCAAGTGACTCATTAATGACGAGCGTCATAAAGCATTAAAAAATATTTTTCCTCAAGAAATATTTCTTTAATTACTTTTTTAATCTCTTGTAAGAAAAAATTCAAATACTGCAGTAAAATTATAAAATTTATAAAATTTATAAAATTTATAAAATTTATAAATCTAACTTTACGAATAAAACTTTGAAATACCGATCTGTAAATTTCCCTCTCTAAAAGTACATTTACAGTAAAAATAAAACCAAATGGAGTGGAAGTGACAACTCTCAATATTTCCTTCCTTGACATTTTATTTTATTTCAATTTCTTTTCTTCAATTCCATCAAAGACAATATTTTTCTCTGACAAAGTGCCTGTTTCACTTTTACACTCGCGTTATAAATCAAGAATTTTGCGGGACATAAGGTTCGAGTGGAAGTTTTATAGAAAAAAAATAAATCGTTTTTTTTAATGTAAGGAAAGTGTTTCTTAATAAAAGTAAAAGAGAGTGAAAATTTTTTTTTTTAAAAGAATTTGAAGAAAATGGGAAAATGAAATTTACGTAAAGTTTTAGTTATAAGGGTGAAAATTGACGGAGGAAAAATGCATGTCACACTTGGTGTGAGTGAAGTCGCAAATCCGTTGCGGTTTAACGAGGATTTGCGATTTCAGCTTATTTCCGTGAACAGAAGAACACTTGGCACTGAAAAGTTAAACAGCTGCAGATTTTACGAGTGACAAGCTTTTACGAGTCCGCTCAATTTTTATCACAATTCCTTAGCCAACAAAGCTCTATTAACGATATATGATTTGGTGAATGAAAAAAGTGGTTTTTTTGCAGACGCAAAAGAAAATTTTAATATTTCGGACAAAGTTCGGGTGTCATGGTAATTTTTTTTTTTTTTTTTTTTTTTTTTTTTTTTTTTTTTTTTTTTTTTTTTTTTAATAGTTATCTTTTATCAAATTAAATTTAACTAATTTGTTTACTAAAGTGACATTATACTTGTATTATTAAAACTAAAATTTTAACCACTGTCGAAAGATTTATCCTTCGAGAATAATTATGTCATTTTCGAAATGTTCGAAAAAATGTTTGCAGCGAAAAATGTCGATAACTTTAGAAAAATTCTTTTTTCTTGTTATATAAACAGAAGCCACAAAAATTAGCAACTATGGAAAGTATAACTATACATTTCCGGATAAACAAGCTAAACAAAATTCAATTTTGTTTTCTAACTTTTCTAAAAATCGTAAAATAAAATTTAGATTTTAAAAATTGTAGAACAAAAAAAAATTTTTAATTTTATTAATAAGATGCAAAAATTGAAACAGAAGATATTACTGGAAAACTTTTCTCGATTTTATTATTAGTCCCATAAAAAATGAAACATCGAGGTACTGTGGAATTTTTATTCTTCATCTCCTTGAAAAAAAGAATGTTGAAATTATTTTTCACTTCACTTCATTCTCTCGTAAATTAAACGCAAATTATTGTTTCTGACAAAAAAAAATACATTTTCTCGCTCCCCTACTTTCATCGAATATTTCGTAACAAAAAAACAACCAAACCTTAATTGTGTTTGATAATAAAAAGTAAAATAATGTCAATAATAAAATGAAAGGATAACGTGTATTAAAAAAAATAATAAATTGATTATGGGTCGTCAAAAATACGTAAAGTAAAAGCACTGTAATAATCATTAAACATTGTGTATTAATAAATAGATTATAATAAAAAAGCCTGTCACAAATAACAAATATAACGAAAGCAAATAACACTTAATACCCGTAGATAAATAAATAAACATAATTTATATTTCATTTTTCAGCTAAAATAAATAAATAAACATATTTTTTTAATTTTTCAACTAAAATATATAAATAAACATTTTTTTTTAATTTTTCAACTAAAATATATAAATAAATATTTTTTTTTAATTTTTCAACTAAAATATATAAATAAATATTTTTTTTTAATTTTTCATATAAAATAAAAAAAATATATATTTGTATATAAATATAATAATATTACCAATTATAAAAATAATGATAATAATAATAATAATAATAATAATAATAATAATAATAATAATAATAATAATAATAATAATAATTAAACAGGTAAATTTTTGCAACAAACTTTGTTAATTTATTTTTAAAAATATTTTGTATCCTATAAAAACGATTTTTCGATTTAATGTAAAGGAAAATTTTATTTTTAAAAAAATCAAACTTTTAGTTCCCCATAAGTCATGCAACCATAAAATTTCCTTACCCAAAGAGTGGAAAGCTGATGAAGCGGAAGAGCTCTTCAAAAATGTCTAAATATTTTCCCGACATCTTTCACTATTCGGAAAACAAACTTTTTTTTTTTTTACAGATTTGTCCTCTTTCAAGATAAATTATATTATTTATTGAAATAGATTTTTTTTCAATAACAGTAGACTTTATATAAATGGAAATAGTTTTTTTTAAAAATTATAATAGATTATTTTAATTAAAATAGATTTTTTTAAATATAAAATTCAAATTAAATAATTCAAAATTGAATTTAAAAAAATATAAAAAGTTGAAACTATAAATAAAAATTTATTTCGAAAGACTTCTACGAGGGAAAGGATTTTTTTTTTATAAAAAGAAAGTCAAAATTCAGAAACGGATCGTATTTATTAAATTCCAGGCATTTTTAAATATTTTAAACATTCGTCGAGTATAATATGTTAGAAAATAAAAAAAGCAAAGTAGGTATGATATGTGCATTCAAAAATTTTTTTTTTTTGAAATTTTATTAACAAATGAAAAAAATAGATTTATTAATAATAAATATGGTAGAGCGTCTTTTTTTCTTGAATATATATAGTATATGTATGTATATAATAATGATTCACGCAAAATATTCAGCTGAAAATAAATATTTCTATATTTACAAATTTTCGCTAGAAATATATTTTTCTATATATCTTCATATTTAGAGCCTCTTTCTCATCGTTATCTCGGTTTTTATTTACAACTTTTCTTAATCTCTCGTTTCACAATAATGATTTTTTTTTTCTAAAAGTACATTTGACTAGACTTAACTAGATTGGTCCTTGGGAGGGAACGACTTGGCGCAAATAAGGTAAAATTCACGAAGAAAAAAGAAAATAGAAAAAGAAAATTTCTAAAAATAAATATGTCTTTCAGAATATAGAAAATTTTTTCGTCTCAATTCCAATTGCTTCCAAGTTTTCTTTTTTTGAAGAAAATAATTTATTCGACACTTATAAACATTTTCGCACTTTTTCTTTCTTAATTTTTTTGTTTCTATGTTTCTTTTTCGAATGTTTCATTTTTAAATGTTTTTTTTGTTATTTTTTAATGTTTTATTTCTAAACGTTTCTTTTTTTAATGTTTTTTGGTTTTTTTTTAATGTTTTATTTTTAAATATTTTTTTTAATGTTTCATTTCTAAATGTTTCTTTTTTGAATGTTTCATTTTATAATTTTTTTTTTTTTTTTTTTTTTTTTTTTTTTTTAATTTGAAATAGAAAAATTGACAAAAAAGTTGTCAAATTTGAGAAAATAATACTTTTCTAAAGGGAGGAAATTAATCGATAGAGTGAAGTTAGTAGCAGGCGATCTCTTCCTGGCACATGATGGAACCATGTCAAATGGAACCATGTCAATAAATGACCTTGACTAGGATTTAATAGAACATTGGAAGTAAGTGGCTTTTCCTAAAAATATCGTGTGTTGCTCCGTTCTTTTTTTTTAAATTGAGGAGACACTTTCCTTTCCTTCTCATCAAGTCTTTGCTGAGCTTTTTATAATATATAAGAATACGTGTCGCAATCTCTTTAGATCCTGAGGGTTCGAAAATACCTTTCTCTTTAAAGTTCACGTTCAAATGTCACAAAATTTACAATTTAAAAAAAAAAAAAAAAAAAAAATTAATGAAATGTTTTTTCTAATTAGAAAATGTTTTACATCTGTTTAGGATCCTGAGGGTTCAAAAATACGTTTTTCTTAAAGTTTAGGTTCAAATGTCATAATTTATATAAAATTTACAATGAAAAAAAAATTTCTTCAATTTTTTTTATTATAAATTCTAATTAGAAAATGTTCAAATGTTTTAAATATGTTTAGATCCAAAGGGTTCAAAAATATCTTTCTATTAAATTTCACATTCAAATGTCACAATCTATATAGAATTTCCAAAGAAAAAAAATTTTTTTTTTAATGAAATGTTTTTTCTAATTACAAAATGTTTTAAATCTGTTTAGATCCTAAGTGTTGAAAAATACCTTCTTCTTAAAGTTTACGTTCAAATGTCACAATCTATATAGAAAAAAAAATTTTAAGGAAATTTTTTTCCTAATTAGAAAATGTTCCCTTTTCTAAAGAAGAGTAAAAATTACAAATATTTAAATAGTCGCAAAGAAAGAAAATTGATGTCTTTGAAATTCAGCTTTGTGGTGAATAATAATAATAGTTTGGTCCTAAAATACCAACAACTTTTTCTATCCATTCATTAATAGTCCTTAAGTTTACAAATCAGCACTATTACTCACAAATACTCTGGAGCATAGGGAAAAAAATAAAATCTAGTTTATTAAACACTAGATCACAATTTTTCTGGATTAAAAAAAAATCCAAAATTATATCTCGCAAGTTACTAAAAGAGAGAAAAAAAGAAATTATTTCACAATTTTTGCTCTTAAAAACAAAATTTTCAGCTTCACAACAAACTAAAAAGGAAGATGTTGACAAATTTAAAGTCTCACTAAAAAGAAAATTGAGACTTGAAAATTAGAATTGACCCAAATTGTAGATCAAATTTTTTTCGAAAAAGTAAGGATTTACAAAAAAAAAATTCTGTTTTCTAAAGTAAAGGTCGCGTTTGTCACGAATTTTTTTTTGAAAAACAGATTTTTTAAAAGCGTTCTTTTCCAGATCTTTGAAGATTTGGCAAAGATTTTCCCAAAAGTTATTAAATTTTCAATATTATTGGAATATTGAAGGAATTATGAAGAAATTTTTTTTTTTTTTTTTTTTTTTTTTTAAGAGAATCATCCTGGAGGAGTGTTCTTTTGTTTGGTGAGTTCGAGGAGAATGGGAAAGTGCAAATCCGGACAGTATTCGTGATTATTCTCGAGAAGTTCCAAGTGTCTGGACCAAACTTTAGCGTCGTAGTGTTCGGTTTGACGAGCCAGAAAGCCCCGTTTGAGGGCCGCTTCGGCAAATCTTTGGAATGTTGTACCTCTTCTTGGTGCCATTACTAGAGCAATTCCATCATCGGCCAGCCATCCGTAAATTGTCTCCACCAGGTCAAGACGGGCGTCATCGAAAAATAGACAATCGGCACTGAGAATAATGTCGTAGAGACCGTCAGTTCTTCTCGATTCATCCACAGCCTCTGCGTCCCAAGACTGTGTCAAAAAAAAAAAAAAATTTAGGATTTTTTTTTCATTTTCATTTTTTATTTTTTATTTCTATTGGGGCGAAGAGTTGTCCAAGGTTTACTGTGGCTAAAGTCTTTGGGCATAGTTAGGGCTCACTTTTGGATATTTCTGACAATTTTCGAACGTATGGTGTTAATAAAATTTCTATTTTTAATCCAAGATTACGTCAAAGGGTCGACCCTTTTGATAATCAATTAATAACATAAATACAAGAACCTATCGCTTATCTCGAACAACAAAAGCATCTTTTCCTTTACATGATGGTCAAACCTTTCATGAAACAAAATTTTCTTTTCTACTTACTTATGTCTGTAAAAATTTCAAAAAAATTAAAAAATTTAATAAAAAAAAAAAAAAAAAAAAAAAAAAAAAATTAAAAATAGGAAATAAAAAAATATTCTAACCTTGTTGCTAATGGTTATGAATATAATTATTAAGTCTAATACTGTATTAGTGAAAAAGTACAAATACAAACGAAGTATGTAATCTAATTAGAACTAATAACCTCCATTAAAATTTACATCAACTAAAAAGAGAGAGAGAGAGAGAGTAATTTTAAAGAGAATTAAATTAAACAATATCATTATAATTGTAATTGTGTTTAGTGCGGATATAATTAAATGCGAATTTAATCGCATATGGTTATTAGAAGTACATGTGCTCAGGCAGGGAGAGGGAAATTATTATCAAATTACCAAATAACAAATAACAAATTCTCATTGAATGTTCTCGATTAGCATTAAAATTTCAAACAAGTATAAGCTTTTAAAGTCGTAATACACTTTCAATTATGGCTTTCAAATTAAACAACAGAATCGTTTACCGCAAATGGAAATATGCAAACGCACAGCATAGTTGAAATTTCGCTTTTTAACTTCCAATTATAGATATGCATTCTACTTTCATTTCGGAAAATTAATTAAATTTTCCTGTAAGGAATCAATTTTTCCGACCGTAACACTTTGCTGTTGTAAAAATTTCAGAAAAATTTAGATTATTTTTAGTCGTGATTTTGTAATAACGGAAGTGGGTGCAGTTTAGTAGGAGAAATTAACAAATGTGTAAACAAAGAGATTATAATGAAAAAGGTTTCACCATCACGTGAGCGAGATAAGAAAAGTGTTCGAAATATTTTTGTTTTCACGTACCGTTGGTTTAATTTTTAATTGACAAATCGAGCTGGTAGCTTGCAGGAAGCTAAAAATTGTATTTTCCTGATTCTTCACTGATTTCTAAATTCAATTATAATCAAAACTTGAATAATTTTGCTAAATAAATATTTAAATACTTCTTATTTAAATCAACGGGAATAAATAAATAAATAATTAAAATAAATATAAATAAATATCCAATTAAATTTAATAACACGGTAAAAAAAATTTAAAAAATTTCAACTTTTTAAATTTAATAATTTCTATAAACATTACAACTATAACCCTTTTAAACTTTAATTATTTTCTACAATTTTTGACTAAACTTCATTTCACAATTAATTATTTATATTAATTTTTAATAATTTTTCGAAAGTTCTTCGAGAATTTAATTATTTAAATACAAAAATTCAATTTTTTATAATAATTCAAACTGTTCACTTCTTCTTTTTAAAGATATTAAGGTAGAATATATTCAAAAAATTTTAATAAAGAAATTCTTAATATTAATTTTTTAAAAATATTTCTAAATAATTTTTGAATGACAATATTTTTACAATTATATACAATTAAATGATATCAAAAAACAAAAATTGAAATTTGGTAAAATCAATTAAAAAAATAATTGAAATTTCGTAAAATCTTTTGAAAAATAATTCAAAATTGGTATAAAATCTTTTCAAAATAATGGAAATTTGATCAAATCTTTTACAAATAATTGACATTTGGTAAAGTTTTTGAAAAATAATTGAAATTTGATATAAAATCTTTGCAAAATAATGGAAATTTGATAAAATCTTTTTAAAATAATTGAAATTTTATATAAAATCTTTGCAAAATAATGGAAATTTGATAAAATCTTTTAAAAATAATTGAAATTGTGATAAAATATTTTTAAAATAATTGAGTTTTTTAAAAATAAAAAAATACAATTTTTGAAGAATTTTAATTATTTCGTAAAATCTTTTGAAAAATAATTCAGAATTTGATTAAATCTTTTACAAATAATTGACATTTGGTAAAGTTTTTGGAAAATAATTGAAATTTGGTATAAAATCTTTACAAAATAATGGAAATTTGATCAAATCTTTTACAAATAATTGAGTTTTTAAAAAATAAAAAAAATTTTTTTTAAAAGAATTTTAATTATAAATGATTTCTTCGAGTTAATTGAAATTTGGTAAAATCATTTAAAAAATAATTGAAATTTCGTAAAATCGTTGAAAAGTAATTGAAATTAGGTATAAATTTTTGCAAAATAATGTAAATTTGATCAAATCTTTAACAAATAATTGAAATTTGTTAAAATTTTGAAAAACAATTGAAATTTGGTAAATTTTTTAAAAAATGACTTAAATTTGATAAAATAATTTTAAAATAATTAAGTGTTTAAAAATAAAAAAAATAAAAATTTTAAAGAATTTCAATTATATACCTAATAATGATTTTTTCGAAATAATTGATATTTGCGGTAAAATATTTTTAAAATAATTGACATTTTGAAAAGTATAATTAAAAATGATCAAATTTTTCAAGAATTTTAATTATAAACAGGACCATGATTTCTCAAAAGTTTTAATAAGTCCAAAAAGTCAATTTTTATAAATTTTTATTTACATTATTCAAAGATTTCTTAAAAGAATTGTTGTATAGAATTTGAAAAAAACTAATTAATTTTTTGATGAATTTTAATTAAAAATTTTGAACATAATTTTTTTCTCCAAAAAGACTAAAAATAATTCTAAAATGTTATTATTTTTGGAAATATGTAATTGAAAATATTGAATTTTAAAGAATTAGATGCTAATTTTCATTAATTTTCATTTTTAAATTTACCTTTAAAGATTTTTCATTAAAATTTTTGATAATTAAATTTATTTTCAAAATTTGCTATTAAAATTCTTCAAAAGTTGATTTTCCAAAATTTTAACAAAATACTTGAAATAAATTAATTATTTTCAATTAAATTCAATTTAAAAAAAAGGCGAAAAAGTCGCAATTTTTGAAAATTAGTCGAAAAAAGTCTCAATTTTCCTAATTTCCCTGACTTTACTGACAAAAATGTTGTTTCCCTGAAATTTTCCTGACTTTACTGACATGTAGCCACCCTGACTGCAAATTACCTGCTAGTTTCCTGCAAGCTTCCTGAAAGCTTAATTAATCTGTAAGTTTACAGGAAGCTTGCAGGAAGCTTGCAATTGGCTATTTAATTACCTGCTAGTTTCCTGCAAGCTTAATTAATCTGTATGTTTACAGGAAGCTTGCAGGAAGCTTACAATTGGCTAATTAATTACCTGCTAGTTTCCTGCAAGCTTAATTAATCCGTACGTTTACAGGAAGCTTGCAGGAAGCTTACAATTGGCTAATTAATTACCTGCTAGTTTCCTGCAAGCTTAATTAATCTGTAAGTTTACAGGAAGCTTACAATTGGCTAATTAATTACCTGCTAGTTTCCTGCAAGCTTAATTAATCCGTACGTTTTCAGGAAGCTTGCAGGAAGCTAAAAATTGGCCATTTGCAGCAATTTTGCACTGCAAATGACCTTCTTGTTTCCTGCAAGCTTCCTGAAAGCTACCAGAAAGCTTAATTAATCTGCAAGCTTGCAGGAAGCTTGCTGAAAGCTAACACATGGCTGCTAGCAGTTCTTTTGCCCTGCAAGTCACCTGCAATCTTCCTGCAAGCTATCAGCAAGCTTGCAGCTCGATTTAACAGCAATTTTCAATTTTAATTTCCAAAAAATGCCACTGTATCAAAATTTTCCGATTTACCTGAATTCGATTTCCATTGTTTCCGTTTTGCCTAAGCGCATTGGCGGCCCTGGCCCATTGCACAACGCCGCACCTTACGAAATCTGCCATGCTGTTTCTGGCAACGATGCATCTGACATTATCAACGCTGGTCACGTTTCCGTCCGTGAGTGTGACACCACTTGGATTGCAGTATTTGGCCACGAGTACACCAGCCAAACAACTCATTCCACCACCCAATTCCAATACAACTTTATTCCTGCAGATCATTCGATTCTTCAATAAATAATAACCCAAACATTCCTCCGATGGCCAGACACAAACATTGCCTGTATTATTGAAGCCAATCAATTCATTGGCGGTGAAATTTTTATTAACCTTCCTTATTTGCACATTAAATAAATCATTGTCAATTATCGTTGAATATTCATACCAGGAAGATTCGGGATCGGCAACATTTTCAAGAATTAACGGTCTCAATAGATTGAATGTTGTGAAACGTCTCACTGAAATATCATCATTGTACTCAATTTCAGGGAATAGCTCTGGAGAACGACTTAACGCTCTTGCAAGAAGGCGCCATCTTCTTTGAGCTGTACTCGCATCCTTTTGTTCGCCAATCTTCCTGGAATGATTCTTCATTTCGGTCACCGTGACAATTTCCGTTGACATATTCTAGTTTTTTTATTTATTAATAATAATTGATATTGGTCCCTGATTAGGATGATGATAAGTTTGGTTAATTCTTCTCGATCTTCACTACCAGGCTCTCCGAAGAAGTTTTCCTCAATTTTAGGAGTTCTTGGTAGAAGATCACAACAAGAGTTTTGTGTCATCGGTTTTGTTTTTTTTGTTGATGTTTCGAAAAAGAAATTTTTTTAATTATTTCTCTCGGCTTCGTCCATGATTGGTTGTTTTTTTTCGAGTCTCCTGGTGATTTTTTGAATTTTTTTTTTTTTAAATAACGATTTCAAAAATTGAGAAAAAGAATTTTCACGAGAAAAGGACAAGGACGGACGAAGGGACCGGAGAGACTGAAAAGCATCAAGTCACAATTTCTAACGCTCGCGCCACGCGACCAGGCGACGTTTCTCCGATTGAATTTCGCGCATGCGTTTTCATTTTGATATACACCTTCAAATGTTGTATAGCAAGTAAAGTATAATTCTTCTCGCACGTTTTCTTTCACAAATTATTGCGTCTGTGTTGATTCGAAACTCATATTCCTCTACTTCTTCCTCTTCTTCTTCTTCGGTTTTTTCTTCCCGACAGGAATCAGAAGCGAAAACAGATTTATCGCCATTTGGCGCTTACTTAGTGAATCTTATATGACAAATAAATTATTAATGAGATTTTCTGTTTTTCTAAATTCAGAAAAAGACTTTTTTTTAATTTTTGAAAAATATTTCTTTTATAATTAAAGAAAAAATTATTTATAATTTATCTGTACGACATAGGGACGTATTTTTTTAATAATATTAGGTAATAATTATTAAAATTTAGTATTATTAGGTAATAATTGATTATTAATGTCAATTAATAATCAATTAACTAATGTAAATTAATAAACAATCAAATTCCTTATACTATTGTTAATTAAAAACCCTTGTAAGTTAATAAAACTAATTACTATTTGCAATTATAATCGATTGTAATTGTCCAACTTATTTTCCAACAAACAAATTGTAATAACAAATGATAATTAACAACTTCAACAAATTGTAATAACAAATAATATTTATACAACAAATTGTAATAACAAATTTTAATTAACTCAGACTTCGCACACTCGATAATTAATTTTAAAAAAGTAGCAAAAAGTAGCTTTCGTACTAAAAAAAAGTATGAAAAAAGTAGCTATCAAAAAATTAAACTTGACGACTAAAAAAACTCGTTTTAGAAACTTCATAAAGCTGACAAAAATTCCATTCTATATTTTATTTTCCTGCGGGTTTTTCCTAATTTTCATCAAAAATATTTACTTCTTTCTTAAATCCATTTAATAAATTAAATTCCTGAAACAAATTTTATTATTCATCAAAGAATTTAAATATTTATAAAAATAATTTAATTCTTGCGAAGAATTTTATAAAATTTTTTAAATAATTCATTTCCTTCGACTAATTTTATGCAAATTTTAATTTAAATAATTAAATTTCTGGCAAATTTGTATTATTCATGAAAAGAATTGAATTCTTATGAAGATTTTTATAAAAAATTTTTTAAATAATTGAATTCTGTTTGGAAATTTTATAAAAATAATAGATATTAAAAATCGTTGAATTGCGAAAAGTTTTTAAAAATAATTAAATTATACAAAGAATTCTATTAAAATTTTTGAGAATAATTTAATGTCCGTGTGGCATTTTATTAAATTTTTTTGAAAATAATAATTGAATTCCTAAAAAGCATTTTATTATTTATGAAAATAATTGAATTCTTGCATAGAATTTTATCAAAATTTTTTTAAAAACATTGAATTTCGATGAAAAATGTTATTATTTGTGAAAGTAATAATTGAACGTTACACAGAAAGAAAGCTAGCGGCTCACTTACTCTCAAAATTTCCGAATATTACATCGAAAGCTTACCGCAATCTTCCCTGCTATCCTATTTTGTCGGTGAAAAAAAGCTAATTACAGATCATTAATTTTTTTTTTATATTTAGAATTAGAGAGTTTATTGCAGAGTTATATGATAAACCGCGTGAGTACGAAAGGAAAGAGAGAACAGTCAATCATTTCGCTTGAAAGCACTTTATCAATATTTATGTCATTGCATTTCAAGTTCAATAGAAATTGAAATAGAAGAAAATAATGTTAAACTGAATCGATTTTTTTTGTTTTTAAACAAAAACAATAGGGATCTTTCTTATTCAACAAATTGTGTTCTATTATATCATTATTGATATAATGCGAATATGATACAGTTTTTTATGCTGTTTTATTTATTTTTTATTAATATTATTAATATTATTAATTATTATATTGTTAATTATTATTAATATTATATTATCAATAAGTTTTAAACTATATATTTCTTTAAAAATAAGTATTCTGTAAGTTTTGACTTTTTTCTGAGTTTAATTTTTCAAAAACAATTTTGTTATATAAGTTTAAAACTTATTAATAAATCAATTAGAAAATTTAATAATATAAAATTATTATATTATGTTATGTCATGTTTTACTATATTCATGTGGTTGATAAAGTCTGCAAGAACTTAATACTTTTTTTTATTATTTTTAGAGTGATGTACAAAAGCCCACACTTTTCTCAAAAGGTTAACGAAGTTAAATGATTTAATTAGAGTCAGTTATACGATCCTACAGAACCGGACGAATTCTCCTAATGCGCCAAATATATCTTTTCATGTTTTTCATAAAAGAAATAATCAAATATTTAAATTTTAATAGTCGAATATATTTCTAATTGATTGATTAATTCACAGAGTACTTTCCAAGTACTCAAATAGAAAGTTAAAATAATTTTGTTTTCAAAGTGGGCGGTTACGTAGAGTGCGCAGTTAACTTCTGCGCATTCGAGCCTCTGCGCGGTGGTCGACTGCGCACTCTAAGTGACCGCCTACTTCAGACACGATTAATTTCACCCACAGCAGGGAAAATTTATCAAATCTCCACTTGTAATGTTTTTAGAATATTAAAATGGTAATTTTAGTGAAAATTGTCTAAAGATTTAAATTTTTAGGAAATTTTTGGTGCTGTGGTGGTAAGTTATAAAAATTTTTTGAATTATTTATTTAAAAGCAAAAAATTTGTAAATATCTCGCGTTAGTTTCATTCATCCGGAAACATAAATGAATCGACGAGCCCCCAAGCTCTACGGTATTGCGGCTTTTCTGGCAAACAGTCCCGACGCATTGCGTCTACTCGACTAGCGGCTATAGTGCGGAAATTTTAGCGAATCGGGTGTAAAACTGACTTACGAGCAATGCTGGCACGCGCACCACCAGATTTCGATCTAGTGTTAAAAAACTAAAATATTTTCACCTTTCATTATTACAACTATTCCTGAAAAATAAATTACAAGGAGCAAACATTCAGTTTAAATTTTCTTTTAAATATTTTTTCTAAATATTAACTAATTAAATATTAATAATTTAAATATTAACTTTCAGTTTCAGAAAAACTAAACTATTTTCTAAAATGCTAGGGGAAAATAATTTTTGTTCCCAAAATCCTTTGAATTAATATAAATATGTAAAAGTGGAAACATATTTAAATTAATAAAACCGCGCGCAGACTCATGAAACTTTCCTATGACACTTTGCAAACAGAAAATTACGTAACAGCTTCTGGCACTGCTTTAAAGTTCCTCTATCAAAGAACAGTGGCTCTGTTTTCCAAGTGTTAAACGCCTTGCAAATAAATTCATTGCGGTACCCAAATGCAGAACGATTGTTAATGATGGGCCAAATGGCGAACGTGCCAAAATTCGCGTTTTATTCACAGCGAAGCCAAATTCGTAAAGTGGACATGAACAATGAATATTGGGGAACTTTTTTTTAGATAAAAGGCATTGATGCAAATGTGATGATAATAATAATTGTGAATGGCAGTTTGGAAATTGAAATTATATAGAGAATTAGAATTAAAGTTTTATTGAGGATCCGAACTTTGAATGTCGGTAAAAACAGGCACTATATGCAATTATCCGTAAAATTGGAGATAAAAAATTTTAAAAATATGTAAAATACAATGAATTTTAATACAAAGAAATGTTATTTAAACATTTCTTTAAAAAAAATTTTTTTAATTTAAATAAATTTGTTTTTAAATTGACCGAACCATGTTTTTTATATTTAAAACACTGAAAAAATATTATATAATGTTAAGCAATCAAAGAAACTCGTAAATATTCAAAATTTAAGATGGCGGATCCAATATGGCGTCGATTTTTTAAAAATTCGCCCAATTCGCCTGAAAGTTGTTACTCGGGGGTTTTTGGGGTTGCTGAATACGAATTTCACCTTTGTTTTCAAAAATACAAAATGGCGGATCCAATATGGCTGACACATTTATTTTTTACTTTAATAAATTTCGTAATTTACAAGAGGGTAATTACAGTAAATATTTATTTATTTAAATAAATATTTGCTCTTTAAGTTCAACGTAAGACTTGCAGAAATAAACTTTAATGTGACTTCTGTTTATAATAGTCTAACATGAGAGTGGATGGTAGCGACTTCTGGCAACTTCGCAGAGCACTAATTTACCGACTCGTTATCTTAATCAATTTTACTAAATTTTTTCATCCCATTTTCAAGTGATTTTAATGATTTTATTCTATTAGTTAAAAATTATACTTTTTTATAAATCAATAACCGAAGAATTAAAAATTTACTATAGGACAATACCAAATATATTATACCTACAAGCTTAAAAAAAGACGACAAACTAACATTCGATGCATTGTATTTTAAAATCTTTAAAATCTTAAAAATTTTTATTTTTATAATCAAAATTTGATTTTTATAATTATTTTTTTAAGTTACAGACAAGTAAACAATTACTTGTGTGTAACTTAAAGAAAATTGTACGCAATGCAGAGGAAATGAAAATAAAATTATAATTCAGAATAATAATGAACGTATTATAATAATTTCCTTATAAGTACTAAAATTGCTTTTCGACATTACGGCGATTAAAAATATAACTAAAAAATTTAAAAATCGAAAAGTACTTACATGGTGAGGGTTCAAAAACTTTATACACTGGAACAGACGTCTTTTTAAATATAAACAAACAAAACGAAATTTATCACAATATAACCTCACATTAAAATTATATTTTACAAATTTTTTGTCACACTACAATTATTTTCAATCTTATATTGTTATTATTCACATTGAACTAATTTCATTCACCAACACTGAGTTAAAATTTGTTTTAATGGAATAAATTAAAAAATTACTTGTGAGAAATAACAAATAAGAAATAAGTAAATAACAATTTTACTCTTGATGGTATAGTTGAGCAAAGTCACGTTTGGTTAGGCACTTACCTTACCTGCACTAGCCTGCAAACAGGAAATTTGGTTCCAAAAATTCTCGACAGGGTTCGCGCCATCAAAAATCTCACAATAATTTAACGCCATTAGACCATCTCATATCTTTGGTTTCTGTCAAATCGAATTCATCTCAAGTCAGCTACTCGACAATATGATTATCAGAATTGTCACTGTTGTGTAATAATAGTAATAATAATAATAACAATATTAACAATAATAGTAATAATAACAATAATAGTAATAATTATAATAATAATAATAATAGTAATGATAATAATGATTTTTCGCCTAACTAAAAGTTCGAATGTTCATTTGATACTTTTGCCAAAAGTTCGAATAATTATTTGTTACTTTTGCCAAAAGTTCGAATGATTATTTGTTACTTTTGTCGAAAGTTCCAATGATTATTTGAAACTTCTGTCAAAAATTCATAGGTGGTCAATTTACGCAAATTTATTTTACCGAAAAATAATCACAGTTCATAACCTAGAAACCGCGAATGTTTATTATTCGGTAAAATAATTTTTCGTAAATTCATAACCTATTCAAATAAGTTTTGATTGTTTTGTTTTTTTTTTTGTTGGTAAAGCAGACAATCAAAACACGAGTGTTGGTTGTAAACAGTTGATGTATTTTAAAACCCAATAAATAGAAGGGGAAGTAAAATACTAAAAACTACCCTTGGAAACGCCAACTATGAACACTTTACTGAACTAACAGTTTCCAAAGTCCCTTTAAATTATAAGAAATTTACCCCAGACTAAAAATTAACTCATATAACTACTATTCAAGAAAGTAATAACTTTCTTGAAGACTAATTATGAGTTATGATCTAAATTTTGTCAAACAATTTAATAAAAAAATTTAATAAAAAAAACTGTCAAAATAATTACGTGTCGCTATCTAGTGAGAACAGATGAAAATAGTCCTCTATAGTAGAATTTAAAAACCTAACCTCAAATTTTCTCGGCGGAATATTACTGTCAGAAATGATCAGCTGACTGCGTTAATTATTATTGACACGTTGATAATTATTAGAGGGCTTAATTTCAGAGGGCGGCTCCCGATATGAACTTTGTTTTGTATGTTTTATATATAGTGGAGACAACATGTATTTATCGGCACGTGGACTTCGATCTCACTAAGAGGATTTCTGTAGCAACTGCATGTAAGTGAATAAAAAGACTTCTTTGATTACGTATTAAAACTTTGCAAAATGATCCAGTATATCTCGGAACGGCAATAATGCAAATATGGTTAGCACATCTGTTAAATGTTTTTCTATCTTTTGAAAAAAATTTAGTTTGTTTAATTGAAAGTTTCTGATTCCTTAATAGTCATTCTGTAAATTTTACTTTGTTTTAGTTAACAACTATTTTTGAAATGGTTACAAAGGAATTTATTACTTATTTCCCAATGGGGAGATTGGAATTTTTAAATATGAAAAATTTAAAAATTGTTTCTAAAATTTACAGGCTGACACAAGGATGCGAAAAAGGGCGGATGGAGCCAAAGGATACGACGAAATGTTGAAAAGAGGTGGAAGTGAATATATTCCATTAGTTGATGGAGAAATTCCAAGATACAGAATTGTCTTGCCATTTTCAAAAGTTGCTTGGTTCACGGTCTCATTACCCTTCTTCGCTTTCATTTTTTGTGTTATTTGGTCTATTGTTTATAATTTTGAACATTCGACCTCAACCCATTGTCAGGTGAGTCATTTTTTAAAAATCAAATTATTCAGAATTCGGATCGTTTAAAAAAATTTTTTTTTATTAGTATTGATAAATAAGTTTTAATATGATTTTTCTGTTCAGGTTTACAATTTTCTGCCATCAGTCTCAGCAGCAATTGGCCATTATAAGCCACAGAAGAATGTATGGAAAGGAGCAATAGCATTGCAAGCTTTAGTGAGGGCTTTAATTTTCCTCATGTACTACAGACTTTACAAGGAGAAAATTCACAAATGGGCAAATGGATTAAGCAATTTGGCACTAGTCACTTATGCCTTAGAGAATATTTCACTTGTTTCTTTAAGTTTTTGGTCTTCCAATGAAAATTACGGTGAGTATAATTATTCATAAGTTTTATTTGTTAATTTTATGATTGTAGTTGCATTATTCTAATTTCTTTGCTTTTTCGTTTTCAGCCATACATAAATTATCATTCATAACATTTCTAATAATGTCCTTGGTTCACATGTTCCTAACTTATTACATAATGACAAAATGCAGAAATATCACTAAGGATCCTTCTAATACGACTTCCATGAAGTGGAAATATCGCTCCATGATCTTCAACGTAACTTCCATATTTTCGGCTTGCTACTTCTTCTACAGGCACAATACTTTCTGCGAACCAATAGGTATTTATTGCTACAAAATATTTCTATTAATAGTTATAAATAAGCAAAGCAAATTTTATTGACTTATTTCATTAAAATTTTTTGCAAACGAAAAAAGGGTTTCTTTTGAAAATTTGAAAAGACAAACAAATGTTCATGTTCATTTATGACTGTTTAATAAAAACTTTAAGACTACATAAAGTTTTCCAAAGCATTTTCTATCGTACTAGTTTCTAGTGTACAGAACTAGAAAAAATAGCCTACAAATTAAAATTGAAATAGTTTTAATTGATACGTACTTGAACATGTTACATTCACTAAAAAACCTTCCCACGATTTTTTATATATTTAAATTGATTTTCAGTTTATTCATTGTTTGCACTTGCTGAATACCTGGTTGTGTTGACGAATATGGGTTACCATCTAACAGCCGCTTGGGATTTTGCAGGACGACATCTTCTTTTATCGACAACAGGTTTCAGGATAATTTAATTTTTTTTCTCAACAAATTTTTGAGTACAAAAATTGTTGTACAACTCTTCCATCCAAATCTTCAATTATTGTAATGTTTACAAAAAAATTATAACACTATATTAGGTAGAATAAATTTATTTATATCAATGTGTACATATGAACAAAATGGAAAGCATTTTTGTGAAAGACTTACATTCTCCGGAAAAAAAATATGTAATTTTTATTGTACATACTTTTTTAACTTTTGAGGTAGTGTGAGTACTTATAGACTGAGTGTGAAATTTAATTTTTTGAGTTTCTATGCTTTTATTATTAATTTCCAAACACTTTGAATGCGCTTATTATATGTACAAAAACTAGTCCTTCTCTGAGAATATATGAGCATTTAAAATAAAAGGTATATGTGAAATTTAAAATTTGAATTCTTTTTCAATTTTTTCGGAAATAAATTTTGCTATTGACATTGAACTTGTTGCAGCTGGAGATGGAGCATTACGAACATGAACAATTCTACTTCCGATAGTTCCTTTTCCTTCGTCGAATACAAAATCGTCCACTAAGTTTCCGTTGTTGTCCATTGCTTGAGCTCTGACTCCCGCTGGACCCCTTTGGAAACAATTTTTTTTTAAATTATAGACTTTTCAGTTCTTTGTTTGAAAAAAGTACCTTTTTACATCCTTGGCTGTGATTTCCGGTACGAATTCTTGACATTCCTTGACTGATAATTGATAGAAAATAGACTTAACCATTTCCTTCATTCCAGGCACGAAATATTTGAAGCAAAGTTTGTAAAGTCCTGGGAACTTGGCCATTTCGATGCAGTCTTTGATGTTAATATCCTTCCAACTGTAAATTAAAACATCGAGTTGAGAAATTAGATTTTTATTTGTTAATTTTTTTAAGGTACCTGTAGCCTTCTCTAGCTAATGCCAAAACTGCATTGGGACCAAGCCACATGTCTCCACTCATTCTGGGCGTAAAGTGGACCCCTAAAAACGGAAATCGCGGATCTGGGACTGGATAAATGTTAGTTGAGCAGATATCCTTTTTGTCGTCATTCAACATGAGATATTCTCCCCTAAAGGGGATTATTCGAGGACTTAGATCACAGCCAGTCATTACAGCCAATCGATCTGAATGTAGACCAGCGCAAGTCAAAACATATTTTGATACTAGAGTCTGCAAAAAAGTACCATATCAACAATGTGATAAAATCTCCTTTTCTGAATATAGTTTTACCTTATTTTTCGAAGTGACAGAAATGGGAGCGTGCTCCATGGAACTTTTCGATTCAGTGCATTCTGTGAAACCTGTCACTTCAAAATTAAGAAAAACATCTCCACCCATTTCTTTGAATTGATCAGCAAAGTGTTGGCAAACGAGGGCCCAGTCTACGATTCCAGTCCATGGTGACCAAATGGCCTTCTCCCCCTGTAAGTATATTTTATATGATATCAAACAATACTTATTACTTTATTTCTAATTTAATTACTAATTACTAAAATTATCTTTTCTTTTACTGATTTCAAACTTAGAACTGGAAGACAATCAAAGAAGACGACGACAACGAGCAAATAACCATAGGCAGATTCTCACCTTGCAGTTAGGTTCGTATTTCTGTATACAATCTTTCTCCACAAGTTCCAAATTTGGTACGTTATTTTTTTGACCCCGTTCAAAAAGTTCGTGTAGTTTTTCCACTTCGTTTTGATTTCTTGCGACAATTAGCTTTCCTGCCTTCTTGTAAGGGATGTCGTGCTTAGAAAAGTAGTCATATGAATGTTTCATTCCCTCCACACAAAGTCTTGCCTACAATCATTTTCTGTGAAATTAATACCATCATATTTTGTTTTGTAATTGAATTAAATTTTCCCTATTGTTCATTATTTTAAATACTAATGCAAAATTTGTTCTAGGTCGAAACAACGATTCACCGGCTTAATCAACATCAGAAGGATGCAAGAAGAAATTCGAACTCAAAAATTAATTTGAGTTCGAAGAATGTGTTCACAAGTCGATACTTGTGTTTAATAAAGATAAATCGTAAAATACAAGAAGATATAACTCAAAATTGAATTTGAGTTCGAAAAAGTGTTCACAAGTCGATACTTGTGTTTAATAAAGATAAATCGTAAAATATTTTAAAACACTGAACCTTGATACTTCCGGGTGTGTAGTAAATGCCGGCATGAACAACCCCACTATTATGACCAGTTTGATGCATCGCAAGTTTATTTTCTTTTTCTACTATTGCAATTTTTAAATTAGGATGTCTTGATTTCATTTCTCTTGCGGTTGCACATCCGACAATTCCACCCCCGACGACCACCAGATCGTACACTCCACATACATCGGAACTGAAATTTAAAATTTTCAATTTAATTTCTAATTTTTTAATACACTTTTCCAAATATTTTTAAAATTTACAATAACAATTTTTTAACCTTAAAAAATTCTCTCATTAAATTTTTTCTCCAGTTTATAATGTAGCAAAAAAATAGTAGTTTCTTTATTAAATTTTTTTTTAAATCTAGTTAAACTTGAGAATAATCAAATAGTAAACAATAGGTTAATAAAATTAATGAGTATTTTAAAACGAAAAGTTATTTTTTACATTTAATTTACATTTACTTACTAACCTACTTGTGGAAGTATATCTGAAAATTCCAAGAGGCAATTTCCCATTCATCTTTATTATACTTGAATTCATTTTTCTTCTATTTTTCAAAAATTTTCTTAATTCAATAATTTAGATGATCCTATCATCGACAGTTTCTTTTTGTACCTGAAAATAATAAAAAAAAACAATTATATTTTCATGTTTTTTTATTCATAATTTTTTAAATATTTATAAATATAAAAAATGAAATTTTAATAAATTCATAGGTAATAATTGACAATACATTTAATTTTGATTAATTTATTTATAGGATTGTTTTTATCTTAAGGAATTTTTGAAAGGCTTTTAAATTTCGTTCATCTGTCACTTATAATGTTGGTTTGAATTTTTATTACGTAATCAAATTAAAATCCATCAGGGTCGGATGTAGACAAAATTTTTGGAAATCTATTTAAGGGACTCATATATGTATTTAAAAAATCAGTGATTTCTCCTTCTCTCACATAATCCAAGATTTTACAGAAAGGGAGCACGAAAATTACTATTATTAGTATTTTGAAAAAATAAAATTAGAATTATAATAAATTCACAAATGAATATAGAAAATAATATTAAAAATAATAGTAAATAATATTATAAAAATAAAAAAAAGTAAAAATAAGAATAAGAATAAAAATGAGAATAGTAATAACAACAATAATATAAATACTAATACAAAAAAATAATATAAATTCTAATTTAAATAAAAAATAATATAAATACTAATATAAATAAATAATAGTATAAATAATAAATAAAGGTAATAGCATTTTTTTATTATACATTCAAAATAAGATAAAAATACAGATTTTATAACGAAAACTAATTATAAAAAATTCTTTTCAAAAAAGGTAATTGGTTATGCAAAATAAATGAAAATAAATTTCAAAACAAAAGTCAATAATATTAACTAAAATAACTTATCTGATCATAATCATACTTCAGTATTATTTAGGTCAGAATTTATCAAAATTAATATTAATTGATACATTTATTTGAAAGATAAAAATTAATTCTGTTAAAAATGAATGAACATGAAGATAAATAATTAAAATATTTAAATTTACTATGTTTGTATAGTTGTTTTTTCTCCAAATATTGATGACATGATACATCTACGATCTGAAGCACAGGAAAAGTCCCTTCAATATGTCTTACTTGACAATTCATTTCTCTATTATGAAGGAAAATTTTTATATTAACATTCACCTTTAACTCAGCCATCTCATTTCTATCTGAACTTGTGTCTCTCTTGGGATAAGAATTTTCGTGTTGGTAAAATAGTTTGAATTTCTTCTCTAGTTAGTGGCGCCACCTTTATAAAGAGGGTATTTTTTCTACAGTGAATAAAAAAAATTATTTTATTTTTTTTTTGAAATTTAATTTTTGCAACTTTAGACAAATTTTTTTTTTTAATTCTGAGTAAATATCTAAAAATGTAATTGAAAAAAATATTCAAAACCATTTTAAAAATTTTAAAAATTTAATAAATTAAACGAAATTTTATAAGATAAAAGGTATTTTTTTAAAATTTGAAGAATGAGAGAAAATTTATTTTGTTTTCAAAAATTTCTTTTATCCTGTACTTAGAAAGTGACTAATATTTGAAGATTCTAGTTCAATATTATATACAATTATGAGTCATATCTATATTATCTTCTAATGATCCTAAACCATATTTTTCCTCTCATAAAATGGCTTATCAGTAAAAAAAAGATTTAAATATAGTATCAAACTTAAATAAAATGACTAAAAATAAGAAACTTACTTATTTTTGACTTTTTCATGAATGAAATTTAAATGATGAATGAAAATGAAAAAAAAATGAAATAAAAAAATGATTTAAATAAATATGTAGATGAATTTAGTATTTTTGTGGACTTTCGTCTTTTTTTAAAATAAAAAAACTTTTAAAAAAAATTAAAAAATATAAAAAAAATTTGTATTACCTATTAAATTGAATTTTTGGAATTTAAGAAGTCAGAATTATTCAAAATTTTTATTTTTATGAAAAAGCACCAAGGACTAGAAAAATTTATTTGAAGAAACATAATAATTTAGCAAATCGATACTGAGATGGATAAGAAATTCTTTTACTACGAGAGAAGTAAACAGTAGTTAGTAATATAAGGTCTTCCTCATTACTAATTAACATCATTCATTTAATACAATTTTTTTTTATCACAAAGGGAAACTCTGTAATTGATAGCAGTAATTCTGAACATGAATTAATAAAAGAAATTGTAAAAGAAATCTCGACTCTCCTTCAAGAAGATAGAATCGAAATTTCACGAGGTAGCTGTTAATTAAAATTTACAAAAAAATAATAAAGAATTATTAAAAAAATGTATATTGCTACATTAATTAAGTAGTCTTTACAATTATACAACTTTTTATTTTACTTGTTTATCTTTACCTATATTAGTAATTTATTATTATCTATAATTAGTTTTGGTATTCTTTTCTGAGAAACAAAAAGGTGAAGGCAATTTGTATAATGAGAAGGAATTCTCCGATATTGATTATGAGTTCAGTATTTCAACATATATTTCGTTCATTCACCACTTTGTTAATTTTAAAACTTTTGTGTACATAATTTTTTCAAAATACTTTACTTCACAAGAATTCAATTATTTTTCCAAATAATATAACATTTTTTAACGAGAATTCAATTATTTAAAAAGAATTAAACAAAATTCTTCGCAAAAATTCAATTATTTTCATAAATTCAATTATTTTTTAAAAAATTGATAAATTCTGTCTTTAATTCTCTACAATTATTCAATTATTTTCCTAAATAATAAAATTGTTAACGAGAATTGAATTATTTAAAAAAAAATAAAAAAAAGTCTTCGCTAAAATTCAATTATTTTTATAAATAATAACATTTTTAAGAATTCAATTATTTATTTAAAATTAATTATTGAGTGTGAAACCTGTTCTACTGAAAAATCGCAAAAGTTTCTTGTTTTGTAAAACAATTTTTCGTGAATTAATAAAGTCAACCAATTAGTAAACTAATCGTGTCTAAAGACTCTAAAGTAGACGGTGACTTAAAGTGCGCAGTCGACCTCCGCGCAGACTCGAATGCGCAGAGGTTTACTGGGCACTCTAAGTCACCGCCTACTTCAACCACTATAATAATTCTATTTGAGTACGTAAGTACTCAAATAGTATTATTATAGTGGTTGAAAGTACTCTGCTACTTCTAATCAATTATAAAGTATCTAAGTACAAAAAAATTAGAAATTATTTAATTTTTAATTACAAATATTAATTTGGCAAAAAATATTTCAAGTTTGAGAGATAAAACGAGATGAAGATGTGCAGTGCCATTGGGGGGATAAATAATTATGAAATATCATTTCTTTATTGTGGATGTAAATAAAATACAAAGAATAAAAAGAGTATATATATATATCTATATGTATATATAAAGTGAATGAAAATCAAGGCTGTGAAAATGAAAAGAATTTTATAATGAAAGGAGGGCGCTGGGTCGCATTGAGATCAACAATGAGGCACGTGGGTGCTTTTGAAAAGCTTCTGGTATAATAACCACATATAGAGGGAGGAAAACTTGAGGCCAGAATAATCCCGTGCACTTTGGACTCTGGTCACCCATTTAGACGTGGAGCCGACGTTTCGATTAAACACGATATATAGACGCTTTGACTTGTTCTAATAAGAATAAGGGCCATCGAGTCATATATACGCGAGACCGGCTGCTGTAGTCAATGCTTACAATACACCTGGAACATCCTACAAAAAACAACAATTCTCCTTCTATCTTCTCTCTCTCTCTCTCTCTCTCTCTCTCTCTTCCCTTTTTCCCTCTCTTTCTCTTCCTTCCACTTTATCCTTTCCCCTCCCTTCATTCTCACTGGTTCGTTTTTTCTCTCAACTTCGATCATCCTCTGCACCTTTTCTCTCTCTCTCTCTCTCTCCCTGCTTCTCAAACACTCACGCAGCCCTTCCAACATCCATCTAGTTCTTCGTTTCTTTATTCCTAACACGGTGGGTCTGATGTTTTTTCTCTTTTCCTCACTCGAATTGTGCATCGAGAGGAAGATGAATCCTAAACGAAATAAAAATAGGGGGCAGGGGGCGAGAAATGCAGCTGGTTAGACTGAAAAAAAAGGTGTTTACATGAAATGAGTGTTTTTAGAAGTGAAGGGAGAAGGCGATTGGCATGAGATGAGAATTTGAAGAAAGTTGAATGATAATATTGACGATAAGTTAATTTCTAATTAAGCAGTGTCAGCAAACTTTCCACTTTTCAGCATTATACACTCTGGATAGTCTGGGTTCTTATCCAAAAAGGTAAATTTTTTTTTATTTTTACATTGACAAATTATTTTTTTCCCTACTGTTTATTATTTTAAATACTAATTCAAAATTTGTTCTAGGTCGAAACAACGTATTCACAGGCTCAATCAACGTCAAAAGGATGCAAGATGAAATTAGAAACTCAAAAATTAATTTGAGTTCGAAGAATGTGTTCACAAGTCGATACTTGTGTTTAATAAAGATAAATCGTAAAATACAAGAAGATAGAACTCAAAAATGAATTTAAGTTCGAAAAAGTGTTCACAAGTCGATACTTGTGTTTAATAAAGATAAATCGTAAAATACAAGAAGAAATTACAACTCTAATATTATTTTGAGTTCGAAAAATATAAGGTAATTGCCAGTTAAGCAGTGTGGGCAAAATTTCCACTTTTCAGCATTATACATTCTAGGTAGTCTAGGTTTTTATCTAAAAAGGTAATTTTAGGAGCTAAAAAATCTTTTTCTGTTTAGAATCATTGCATTGACAAATTATTTTGTTTATTTATTTATTGTAGACCGTTTTTAGAATTAGATGATGGAAAGTTATCAGTATCTTTTTTTGTGCAAAGTTATCACTTGTCTTTAGTTTCCAAAGTCATCACTTGTCCAATTTTTATTTAAAAAAAGTCACTAGTCGTTAATGTCTACTTCTCCATTAAACCAATTCACTTCTCTGCATATGTAACTTCATTGCCAAAATTTTCATCCAGGAATAAAATTAATATTCCGCATCTGAAAATTTAAATACTTCCACTGTATATATATGTGGTGTAAACGTATACAGAATAACAGAAGTTTCGAGACAAATTTCCAAACTAGAACCTAATATGAATATTGCATAGAGTTGTGTAAACTTGTGCAAATAATAATTGCACACTTACTCTTCTTTTGATAAAAAAAACACTTCCATTCACTTGAACCTCCATAAAATGAGAATAAATACACACGTATAACTGATAGCATTCTATTTTCCTGAACCTTTTAATTTACGACACGCAAACGCCACTTGCAGAAAAGGGAAGTTCCTTTATTCCAATTCAATTATACACTCTAACAACTCTTTCGTAATCGCGTCAAGAAGAAAAGAAATTGAAAAAAATACTCTCATCGCCAGGTGTTTCATTTTTTTCGGGGAAAAAATATATAAAATTTAAATATAACGTAAAAAATTATAAAATAATATAGTGAAATTTAGGTAATTATTATCCAGTGGGCTAAAAATATTCACTTTCGAGAAATTACTTCTTTTTTCCGGTGTAGGGCCTGGAGAAAAATTCGAAAAAAAGGTTTATTAGTTAATTAATCGTATTGCAAGTGGGCGGCACCTTAGAATGCGCAGTCGGCCTCCGCGCACACTAGAATGCGCAGAAGTTTATTGCGCACCCTACGTAACCGCCCAATTCAAAAACAATTAGTTTAGCCTACTTTTCGAGTACTTAGAAAGTACTCAATCAATCCTAGACACTTAGGAATAATTCCCAGTTTCCAATTGCCTATGAAAATTTTAATAAATACCATAAATATAAAAATAGGAATAAAAAACATAAATTTTGAAAATAATTTTTAAAAAAATGGTACAGTTTTGAAATTTGAATTCTCGAATTCACAGGTGAGAGTATAAATGGTACTCGTACGCTGTATTATATTCCTGCAATGCATCGCGTCGCCAGGATAACACGGTCCTGAATCGTGATGCGTGGCCAGGTTGCGCGGCAGTTCTTTGACTCTCATAGTTTTGGAGTCAGTCAACCCGGTGACGGCATCCAAGAGAGTGCTGTCCTACGGAGCAGTGCTTTTTTACCGGCATTTTCACATCCGCGAAAGCGTGATTGTGATCAGGCACACAAATGGATTCATCCCGGTGCAAAGATGCACCCATAATAAAAATTATTCATCGACAATTTTAAACAAAAATTTATTCACAATTTTTCTCAAAGAAAAATAATTTCAAAAAACAAAGTTCTAATTTTGTAAAAAAGGATTTAAATGAAAATTTTTGGAAAAACACAAATAAAAATAAAGGTGTGAAAAAAATTTTAAAAAAAGGTGTAAAATTAAAAAATAATTTTAAAAAACGGTGTTTAAAAAAAAGAGAGGTGTGGAAAAATAAAAAAAGCGGTAAAACAATTAAATAAAAGGATGTGGATGAATTTTGAGGATTAACTGAAATTTTTGGTTCGTTTGCCGAAAAAAAGTGCGCGAATTATTTTTTTTCTCACTTTTTCGACAATTTTTGGTTGGGATTCTTCTCGGTGATAATCGACTGATAATTAATTTTCGAGAAAATTACACTGGCAGGTGGAAGTAAGGTGGTCGAGGGAAGAATTAATTTCTGAATTTTAAGGAATTTTTGCTAAAATATTCGCGTGATTATATAAAGAGAATTTACCAAAGTTAATTCTCTTCTGGAAAATTTAACTCTTGAAAATATTTCCAGAACTGAAATTCCAAAAATTTGAAAATTAATTGAAGAAGAAATATTTGAAAATAATAATTTTCATTTGATCAATTTTGATATTCTGTAATTGATTTTGAAATTGAATTATTAGGGAATAAAAATTAAAAATCAATTTTTTATAAGAGAAAATTTAAAATTTATTTAAAAACCAAAGTAAAAAATAATTGTTTTTGAAATTTAGATCTTAATCGAAAAATCTAAAGAAAGAAAAAAAGTTTTTTGCAAAACTGCAGTCTGCGAGTGTCTCAAGATTTAAAACTACACGAGTGTTGCTCTTCTGCTAATAACTAGTGGCTAATTAGACGAGTGAGTGTCCTGGAACAATGCACAGAAAAAGCGTTAAGAGTGAAAAAAAATTGTGTCTAGTTTTCTATTTGTGCAAAAGTGATTTTTAATTTTTCTCCAAATCCTCAATTTCATCTTGACCTCAAAAAAAAAAAAAATAAATAAAATAAACTTCTAGTTCCAGAATAAAAATTTTTATGAATTCAGTTTCCATTTTCGATTGTTTAGAAAATTATTTCATTATTTGACAATAAATCATCTCTCCACCAAACGGGATTCATTTCGAGAAAATAAAATTCAAATAATATAAAAATTCCTCCTCGGATCGAAGATCTTAAAATTCGCTCCAAGCGCTCCTTTCGAACGAGAACGGGAGAGAAGGAAAAAAAAGCAAACGCGGAAACCGGTTTTCAGAGGCTCTTGCACGTGGTACATTGAAAGGAGTCGAAGATTTTGTGAATTGAAAGAAATTCTAAATAAATTTCGATATTTTTTTTCTCGCTAAAATTGAAAGAGAATTGAAAACGAATTGAAGAAAGTACTGAAGAAAGAATAGAAAAATAATTGAAAACGAATAGAAAAAGAATTGAAAACAGAATAGAAAACAGAATAGAATTAGAATTGAAAAATAATTGAAAAAGAGTAGAAAAAGAATTGAAGAAAGAATAGAAAAATAATTGAAAAAAGAATATAAGAGTAGAACAAGAATAGTCAAAAGAATAGGAAAAGAATTGAAGAAAGAATAAAACAAGAATTGAAGAAAGAACAGGAAAAAAGAATTGAAGAAAGAACAGGAAAAATAATTGAAGAAAGAACAGGCAAAGAATAGAAAATTAATTGAAAAAAGAACAAGAACAAGAATTGAAGAAAGAACAGGAAAAATAATTGAAGAAAGAACAGGCAAAGAATAGAAAATTAATTGAAAAAATAACAAGAACAAGAATTGAAGAAAGAACAGGCAAAGAATAGAAAATTAATTGAAAAAAGAACAAGAACAAGAATTGAAGAAAGAACAGGAAAAATAATTGAAGAAAGAACAGGCAAAGAATAGAAAATTAATTCAAAAAATAACAAGAACAAGAATTGAAGAAAGAACAGGCAAAGAATAGAAAATTAATTGAAAAAAGAACAAGAACAAGAATTGAAGAAAGAACAGGAAAAATAATTGAAGAAAGAACAGGCAAAGAATAGAAAATTAATTCAAAAAATAACAAGAACAAGAATTGAAGAAAGAACAGGAAAAATAATTGAAGAAAGAACAGGCAAAGAATAGAAAATTAATTGAAAAAAGAACAAGAACAAGAATTGAAGAAAGAACAGGAAAAAAGAATTGAAGAAAGAACAGGAAAAATAATTGAAGAAAGAACAGGAAAAAAGAATTGAAGAAAGAATAGGAAAATAATTGAAAAAAGAATAGAACAAGAATTGTAGAAAGAATAGGAAAGGATTGAAGAAAGAATTGAAAAGAAATTTAGTAAAAATTTTTTTTTGGTAAGAAACAATGGAGGAGGAATTAAGATGTTCCGTTTGTAAGGAACTGTTCGGCGATCCAGTTCTTTTGCCATGTTGGCACGCGCTGTGTCTCAGTTGTGCTGTGAATTTACAGGCGCCACCTGATTCGCCACCGGAATCGACAACCGATTCAACGAATGCGCCAGGCTCGGATCAGGAAGCTGATAAATTGTCAATCTTGTCGGAAACTGATTCCGGTGTTGTTTGCAGTAGTACATCTACAGGTTCAAGGCCCGGAAGTTATGTGGGAACACCCGGAAACGGTGGTTTTCCACCCTCCGGCGGTACACTGTGCTTGTCATGTCCGGTTTGCCAAAAGACGGTCTACTTTGACGAAGGTGGTGCACACAATTTACCCAAATACAGAGCAATGCAACGTATTATTGAGAAATATTTGGAATCGAAGAATATTAAACTACAGTGTCAGATGTGCGAGAATGAACCAAAGGATGCGACTGTTGCGTGCGAACAATGCGAGGTGAGTTATTTTTTTTATTGGAAATTATTGTATAAAATAAGGAGAAAATTATCAATACTTCAAGTTAAAATGAAAGTCCAAGTCGATGGAAATTATTATAGTTATTTATATACTTTTTTTTAGTGGAATTAGAGGCAAAAGAGTGGGGATAATGAGAGTGAGAAGGAAAGTCGATGAGTTCTCTCTCACTCTCATTGCCCCCACTCTTGCTTTCGTGCTCCGCGCATGCGTAGGGATAAGGAGAGTGAGAGAGAATTCTTCGACTTTCCTTGTCGCTCTCATTATCCCCCCCTCCTGTTTTTAGTTCAACTTGTCTGAATCAAAGTAAAAAGAATTGAATTTCTTTATTTAAATTAATTTGGATAGAAATTTAAGTTAAAAATTCTAGAAAATAATTGAATATTAGAATAGAGTTAGAGTACAATTTTTTTTAAGAATAATTAAATTTTAAAAGGTTTTAATGAAAATTTTTAAAAATTACAATGAAATGTAGAAGTTTAATAAAGATTTGAATATTTATTTTAAAAAATTATTAAAATTTTAAATTAAACTAGGTATTTTTAGTTTTAAACTTTTAAAAATTAATGGAATTACATGAAGGAAATACTGTTGAAAATGTTTTAAAAAAATTTCCAACAGGTAAAATTTAAAAAAATGTTTAATTTATTTAATATAATAAATAACTTTAAAAATTTTTCAATTACTCTAAATCATCTAAAATGAGTTTTTTTTGTACCTGATAGTCGATCCCAGATCTTAAAATACAATCAAATAGCTTTCTTTCTTTCTTGGGTAAAATTTACCATATTTCAGTAATATATATTATTAATATTTTATCTTTTACTTAATTCAAATTTATTCTCTACTTATTACTATTCTCGCGTGTATGAAATAATTAATTTCTATATTCTTGTCTTACATATACGTACATAATAGATATTCTTAAATGCTTTCAATTGCAAATAAGTAATTATGGAAATTTTTTATTTTAAAACTTACATGGTACCCTAGATGAATAATATTACAAACAATATAAAGGTAAAAAATAAACTCTTTTTCAATTTTTTTTGGGTAAATTCCTTTAGAAAACTTCTTAAAAGTTATTTTAAAAAGTTTAGAATATTTAAAAAAAGTAGAAGTAGAAATGACTACTTCCTGATAAATTTTACTAATTTAATTCTTTACCATTGATTTTTACTAATTTTACTATCTACTAATAAATTTTACTAATAAATATCAATTTCTACTATTTTATTAGTAAAATTACTGACATTTTTCTGTTGAATTAGTAAATTTCACTAATAAAATAGCAGAAATTGCTATTTATTAGTAAAATTTACTAATTCAAAAGCAAAAAGTCAGTCATTTTCAAATTAGTAAACATTATTAGTAAAATTTACTAGAAAATTAGTAGAAATGACTATTTACTTGTAAATTTGACTAATTTAACTATTTACTACTAAATTTTACTAATTTTACTATCTACCAGTATATTTTACTAATAAATAGTAAACTATCGAATAGAAATTACTACTTACTAGTAAATTTTACTAATTTTACTATCTACTAGTAAATTTCACTAATAAATAGTAATTTCTACTATTTTAGTAGATACTAAAATTCACAAATTTAAATCAAAAAGTCTGTCAAAAATTTAAATTAATAATATTTACTAGTAAATTTTACTAATTTAACTATTTACTACTAAATTTTACTGATTTTACTATCTACTAGTAGATTTTACTAATAAATAGTAATTTCTACTATTTTATTAGTAAAATACATTAATTGAAAAGCAAAAAGTCAGTCACTAATTTAAATTAGTAATCAAATTAGTAAAATTCACTAGTAAATTAGTAGAAATTACTATTTACTAGAAAGTTTTACTAATTTTCATCTACTAGTAAGTTTTTTTAATAAATAGTAATTTCTACTAATTTATTAATAAAATTTACTAATTCAAATTAATAAACATTTTTACCAATTCAAATTTAGAGACTATGTATAGAGTTTTTTTTATATACAAGAATAATAATAATAATAATAATAATAATAATTTTAGAAGGGGAATTGTAATAGGAGTTTCATTTTAGCTCTGTATGTGCGATTGTATTTAAATAACAAGCAACATCATATTAAAACTCGATATCAAATGAGATTTAATTAAATACTAATTAATGAATTTTGAATCGTAAAATTCATTTTAATATATATATATATATATATACATATAAACCTCTTTCAACAAAATTTTCACTTTCTGTTTATTCACATTGCATAATTTATAGAACAAAAATGAATAAAACAAATTAATATTTATGCAATTAAATTTTGTTCGGCATTTAAAATTAAAATACGCAATTTTACCAGTAATACCTTATTAATAATTATAATAGTCATAACAATATTAATACTCTCATTCAATAATTTAATAATTGTTTCATATTTTCCAATATTTTATTCGAAATATTATTCAATTTTTTATATAGTTTTGATTTTCAAAATTATTCACTTTTTTATGTAGTTTTAATTTTCAAAATTATTCACTTTTCTATATTGTTTTAATTTTAATAAAGTTTCTTATATAGTTTTAATTTTCAAAATTATTCCCTTTTTTATATTGTTTTAATATTATAAATTATTTACTTTTTTATGAAGTTTTCTTTTTCAAAATTATTCACTTTTTTATAAAGTTTCTTTTTTTATATATATATGTTTTAATTTTCAAAATTATTCCCATTTTTATATACCTAGTTTTAATATTTTAAATTATTCGCTTTTTTATAAAGTTTTAATTTTCAAAATTATTTCACGATTAACATGAAATAAAATAAATAAAAACTCGAGGTGAAAATAAATTTTTAATATTTAAATTCTTAAAATAATGTATAATGAACCTTGGGGTCAATATTAAACTTTTTCAATATTAAAACGGTTGAAAAGTGGGTCTAATTTGATAAGCGAACATAATTCTAAAAAAAAACAATTTAAAAAAAAATTTCTCTTGTCAAGAATTTTGTTTCGATATTATGTGTTATATTTGTAATACAAAATAGGCTTTCCTACGCAAAAATGTTAAATACCGTTATACGCGTATGGATTTTAGTAGGCGGCGAATAGTATTAGTTTTAACGCACTATGTTTTCCTGATTATTTACTGTCAAGATGTAAATCACAAATTTAATTGTGACTTAAGGTCATCAATATAAATTCTCAGCGTGTGTACTATAGAATATTCTAATCTTTCTTTCTTTTTAAATTTGAAATATGTAAATTGCCCATTTTCGCAATATATATAAATAAAATACATTCTCAATGTCTTTGGAAATTTGTGTCAATGCTTCCATAAATTTTGTTCTCAATTATTATTATTTCTCACTGTTAATAATGCGCTCTATTGACTTTAGAAAGTTCTGTTATTTTCGTCATGATTAATTGCGCGCTTTTCTCATTGATTTTTCTTTTAATTAAATTTATTTTATCTGATTTCAAAAGTCTATTCTGCGATATAAAGTTTGCCGGACAGCCGGAGAATATTGAGGCAATATTTAGTCAATATTACCCCAAAATTGCCGGATAATGTTTTCTCAACGTTGCCGGAAACTTTCGGTACAATATTTGGTCAATATTACCCCAAATTAACCGGGTAATGTTATCTCAACGTTGCCGGAAACTATTGATGCAACATTTAGTCAATATTACCCCAAATTTGCCGGGCAATATATTGCCAACGTTCCCGGAAACAATTGACGCAATCTTTTGGCAATATTACCCCAGATTTGCCGGGTAATATTTTGCCAACGTTTCCGGAAACTATTGACGCAATTTTTTGACAATATTACCCCAAATTTTCCGGGTAATATTATCAGTGCTGCGCTGAATGAAAAAAAAATCTCGCGCTGAAGAAAAATAAATTTATCCACATACGTGAAGTTATAATATTTTCGTAAGAAAAAAAATTCTTCTTCTTCTCAAAAAAAAAGAATCTTTAAGCTCGGCTTACAGACCTTTTCCATTGAGTGAATTTTATAAAAGATGATCCTGTTATAAATTACGCGCTACAGACAAATTTATCAATAGGCGGATCATGTGACCCTTAATCCCGGAAGTGTACAATATTCTTAGAGAGGTAGATCACGAGCAAAGGAAAGTCTCGATTCACTACCAATAACCTCTTTATAATGGACTTATAGCCTATACCCTTTTTTCTATATCAGAGTAACCATTTCTTCAAATATAATTTTTTCTCTCTATCAATATTGCGATTCTGAACAAGGGGAATTTACAGGAAATAAAAGAACTATAGAAATTAGAGACAAGAAACAATATTTACAGTTATTTTCCTTTATGCCAAGGTAGAAATTGACTCAATTATTATTTACACGAATAGTTTTGAGAAAAAAATTACTATTTTTAATTTTCAGTCATTAATTACATTGACACGTAAAAATAGATTTAAATTGCTTTCTGATTAGTATTTTTTCGTTTATTAAGTATAGAAAAGTTTTTGAAGGAGAGAATAATGGTGGTTTGATTTCTCCACTTGAGAACGCCAAGGTCGCCACCAGATGGCAGGAGAAATTCCAAGAAACTTCCAAGAACAAAGCAGCCATCTAGCGGTGACCTTGGCGTTCGCAGGTGGAGAATAGCGACGCCATATTGAATCTCAAAAGTCAAAATTTCAATTGTCTTTAGAAATAATAAAATTCTTCTCTGAAATTCAATTATTTTCAAAAATTGTAATCAAATTTTTGGCAAAATTTAAAAAAAAATTATTAAATAAAAACATGAAGAAACATGAAGAAATCGATGACTCCGAGTCGAAGACTCGGAGTTATCGATATCTTCATGTTTTATAGTTATGAAAAAAAATGTATAATTTTAATGGAATAATTAAAAAATCAGAGAATATTATGATCACAATATCGATTCTGACGTAATATTTCGACCTATATTTTTTTTCTTCTTGAAGAAAGAGAGAGAGATGAAATTTTTGTTGACAAGGAAGAAAAAAAAACTTTTTTTCCATCCGGCAATATGTACATACATAATTGAAATTTTTTTTTCTTTTTAATTCTCCTTTCAGGTTTTGTATTGTGACGCCTGTAGGGAGGCATGCCATCCAAATAGGGGACCCTTAGCGGCACATAATTTGGGCCCACCGCGGGGCAGATGGCAGTCAAACGGCGGAAAAAGTGTACGGGGAACTGGTCACGACAGTAACCTGATTTGTGCCGATCACAACGGAGAATCTGTGAGCCTTTATTGTGCTCAATGCAAGATTGCTGCCTGCTCACTTTGTCTACGCGAACGACATAAACCTCATGAGTCTGATATTCTTCCATTGGCAGCCGCCTGCAAAGCTCAAAAGGTACGTGTGCCATCCTTATTATTTTTTTCCCCCCAATAAAATCTATCAAAACAATCAATCAGCCCTACTTTGTTTTTTGATGAAGCACTCACATTGCTTTAAAAAAAAAAAAAAAAAAAAAAAAAAAAATTGACTGGCACAATGATATTTAATTTTGAAAATCTTTCCTCTAGCAACATAGTAAAAATAAATGTTTTAATTTGTATATAGAAATATTTCCAAATTATAAAAAATAAAAAATTTTAAAGTTTTAAAAAAGTACCCCAATGTAATTATTTTTCTGTCTAATTTTAGAATAAAAAAAAAATTGTAATTCGAGTAGTATTTCGAATTGGGGAAAAAAAAATCTCGGAAGTGTTTAGACTCATGGAAGTTGATAGTTTAGATTCCAGATTTGGCTCTTGAGAATCTTTTCATTCTTCGTGCTTTAGACAAGTGTTTAGATTTGAGAAGGGAAGCTTTACCTTCTAGATGGAAAACTTACACTCGGTTTCAGAATTTATGTCTGTCTGCCTTTGCAGGCCACTTGAGAAAACAAGTGGATGGTCCAGAAATATTTTTTTTTATATCACAATATAAGATTAAAGCATCAAAAAATAGAGGTTTTGACTTCCCATATATTTTTTTTTTGATCCCCTATACTTCTAAAAGTTCGATTTTTACCCTAAAATTTAGTTTTGTGTCTGTTTTCGAAAAAAAATTAATTTTTCCGCACAAAATGTTCGATTTTTCAGAAGAAATGATGAGAGTTGGTGATTTTTACGAAAATTCAATATGGCGTCTCAAAAATGGCCGCCAAAATTGGAAAAATCGTAAAAAAGTAAAAAAATTATTTTTCCCTCTTTCTTCACCGAAGAACACACATATGACAGAAACAAAAATCCCATTTCTAATTGAAATTACCTTGCCTCCAATTTTGAACCGCAGCACGAGTAACAAATTGAATTCATCTGGCCGCTCTCTCTCTCTCATATAAAAAGAGAGAAAAGTTTTCTCTCTTCTTTTTTTATACCCATCTATTTTTCAAACGAGAAGCGAGAAGAATGAATTCAGCACTGGAATAATCGAGTGGGCTAGAGTTACATAAAAGTAAGGGTTCAGAGGCAGAGTCTGCAATATTCCTTCCTGGCATAATTACCGGCTCCCGTTAAAATTCTCTTAGCGAATAACGCGTTTGTTTGAAACTTTATACCATATCGCAGAGACCAAAGAACTAGTGTATATAGAAAGAGAGAATATTCGCAAAATTCAAGAGAGATTGGCGAATGTGTTTATGTGTGTGGCAAAAGTGGTTCACTTGGAAAAACGTTGCGGTGTGATTCCAACCAAAGTGTATATATGAGTTCATACAATCAGTGTTTACGTACTGTATATGGATCTATTAAAAATTTTAAACCACACATTATATTCTCTTGGACAATTATTCAGAACAGGATATCCTGCCCTCCATTGTTCATCTTTCGTTTATATATATAATATACATAGTGGCAAACAAGATCCTCCGCGGCAATAATTTCTGCTTGGTTGATGATATGATGTTAATAAGCGAACGATTGCAGTGGAAACAGATTTTTTTGTTTTATGGTCTTGTCAGATTTAAAGTAGACCCTATTGGCATTTTATTTACTATTTCATTAGGTTACGAAAGTGCTGAGAAGCTTTAGAAATTCTGATAAGCGAAAAATGGACCAGAAACACCCAGAGGCACCCAGAGACACCTAAGGACATAAAAAACAGTATAGACAATTTAAAACAGAATTTTTTACCATTCTGAAAGATTTTATCACCTGATAAACCTGGTGATGAAACTAAACAATTTTTCCTTTTTTGGAATTTTTTTACATTGGGGTAAAAATTTATAAAAAACGCTAGGGAAAAGATTAAAGCATATGGAGGACTTACCCTGGAACCTAGACTTTGATTTAAGACCAAATAGACTAGAAAATCTCAAAGAGTTTTTGAGAAATCGATAAAAATGTCAAAAGATCGTTTTTAACCAAAACGACGATTTTTCAACCCTAAACATAGTTCAAGATATCTCGGAAAATATTTAAGATTTTTACACGTTCTTGGTCTTAAATTAAAGCTAGTCATCTGTACTAACAAGATATAAATTTACTGATTGTTTTGATAATTTTTTCCAAATTTTGTCACAAGGTGAATAAATTTTTGAAATAGCGAAAAAATAGTGGATTTTCGTTGCTAATGTCATCGGTGATAATTTTTTTTGGACAATAAGATAAAGAGTTAAATCAGAAACCTTTAAAAAATGTACGAAATTCTGCTTCGATTCATGTATAATAGAACAATTTCTAATTACTTTGAAAGATTTTATCATCTGTTAAATTTGGTGGAGAAGTTTAGCAATTTTTCGGTTTTTTCCAATTTTTTTACCTTGGGTCAAAAATCCGTAAAAATCTTTAGAAAATAATTGCAGGTTATGAAAGAGTTTCTCTAGAACCTAGACTTTAATTTAAGACCAAATAGACTGAGAAATCTCGAAGAGTTTTTGAGAAATTGATAAAAATGTCCAAAGATCGTTTATTTCCAATTTGACGATTTTTCGACTCCAAACATAGTTTACGATATCTCGGAAACTTTTTAAGATTTTTACACGTTTTTGGTCCTTAATTAAAGCTAGTCATCTGTACTAACAACATATAAATTTACTGATTGTTTTGATAATTTTTTCTAAATTTTGTCACAAGGTGAATAAATTTTTGAAATAGCGAAAAAGTAGTGGATTTTCGTTGCTAATGTCATCAGTGATAATTTTTTTGGAGACTAAGATAAAGAAATAAATCAAAAACTATGGAAATGTGTACGAAATTCTACGTCGATTCACGTTTAGTAGAGCAATTTCTGATCACTTTGAAAGATTTTATCATCTTTTAAATTTGGCACAAAAGTTTAGCAATTTTTCGATTTTTTCCAATTTTCTTACCTTGGGTGAAAAATCCATATAGGTCTTTAGGAAAAAATTGTTGGTTATACAGGACCTTCCCTGGAACCGAGACTTTAATTCAAGACCAAATAGACTAAAAAATCTCATAGAGTTTTTGAGAAATCGATAAAAATGTCCAAAGTTCGTTTATTTCCAATTAGACGATTTTTCAACCCCAAACATAATTCACGATATCTCGGAAACTATTTAAGATTTTTACATGTTCTTGGTCTTAAATTAAAGCTAGTCTCCAATTATAATTGAATATGAATTTACTAATGTTTTTGCTGATTTTTCGAAATTTTGTCAAAAGGTGAATAAATTGTTGAAATAGAGCGAAAGTAGTGGATTTTCGTTGCAAATGTCATCAGTGATAATTTCTTTGGAGAATAAGATAAAGAGATAAAACAACGACCATTGAAAAATGTACGAAATTCTGCGTCGATTAATATATAATAAAGCCCTTTTTTATCTTTCTGAAAGATTTTATCACCTGATAAATTTGATAACGAAAATTAGCAATTTTTCGATTTTTTCAAATTTTTTTACCTTGGGGCAGAAATCTATAAAATTCTCTAGAAAACAATTGAAGGTTATGCAAGACTTTCCCTGGATCCTGGACTTTAATACAAGACCAAATAGACTAAAAAATCTCAAAAAGTTTTGGAGAAATCTTTAAAAATGTTCAGGCTTTGTTTATTTCCAAAACGATGATTTTTTAACCCCAAACATAGTTCACGATATCTCGGGAACTATTTTAAGATTTTTACCTGTTTTTGGTCTTAAATTAAAGCTTAGTAAATTTTTTCTGTCCTAAATTAATACTTTGTCTTCAATGATAATTTGCTATGAATTCAGAAATTTTTCTACAATTTTTCCTAAATTTTGCCAAAATCGTTTTGTTTTTATCTTTTTGAAAAAAAGACATGTTAAAAAAAAACCAAAAAAAAACCAAAAAAAACCAAAATAAACAAAAAAAAAGTGAATCGACGATTTTAAATATCTGAAAACATAAACGAAAGTATCAAAATATAAACACAATTTATACAATAATTGACAGAATCCTTTTAAAGAATCGTCCTTTTTTATTTAATTGTATTTGAATGTTATCCGGAAAGAAATACTAATTGAGTATTTATGAAATGTTTCACTTTGACATAACGTTTGGATTTATTTTTAAAAAACAAAATTTATTTTTGTATTATTTTACAATATTCATTTTATTTCTTTCTTGCTAAATGGAATTTAATTTTTAAATTTTCTGTCATATTATGTTACTGATATAAATATCAAAAAGAGCTCTTATACTGGAATATTTTTATTTAACTTTATACAGATTATTACTTTTTAACCATATTTCCATTTGTCATATTTAGTTATATTTTAATCGAAATACTTTAAGTTAATTTTTAAATATTCTTTGGGAAGAAAATATAAACTGTCTGTAAATAATTCATATTTTGTCAAATAATAATAATAATAATAATTTTGTAAATTTATAATATATTATATTCACAGTTGTAATTTTAAATTATAAATGCAAAGAATGATGTTGTCGGTTTCAAATCTAATTTGTAATTGAAACAAAAGTTTATAGTCAAACTTTCGAAATTTTTCATTTCAATTCTTTTCTTCCTATACGAAGAAAAGTTGTTTTGTTATTTAATTTTAAATTAATAAATTAGAGCAGTTTTCTTTGTCACTTTTATTTTCCTTGAGATTCGAATTTATATTTTCTTCTCTCGCAGAGTTCTTGCGGGATATAAAGCATTCGTGCCGCACTTTAAGAAAAAAAAACTCCCATCTTGTAGATTATAGAGATTAAAAAGAACTTATTATGTTTCTCTCTCAAAAAAAAACCCCCAGGTGGTTATTATTATTCATTCATTTAATCATCACTCTGTTGTATTTGTAATAATGCGAAAATTAAATTTATATCTGATAATTTAAATAATAATGTTGAATAATGTTTTTAATTAAAAATAATATTCATTTAAAAAAAAATCTTTACTCTAAAAATTTGACTCTGTAGCCTAAATTTTTTCTGTTTAGAGGA